CACTAGTCTAGTTTACTAACTTTTAGGACCGCGATAAGCAGCCATGTAGCTTACAATTTTTCCAGTTGCTCTGACCTTGCTGAATCGTTTGGGGGTCAGCCTGCTGGCAATCCTAAAGGAATTACCAACTCAGTGGTTTCCTCAGAGCACTTGGCAAAGCTTTAGCCATTTCAAGATCCTCTTGGTGCAATTTGAACATCAATAATTCGCTACGAAAGATGTTTCTCCTTGACTATGATAAGGTATTTTGTCGATTACAAAACCCGCTACATTACTTTACAAAATTGTAACTAATTGCTGATGAATTAGTGTGCGAAAAAAAAAACAAATTGAGATTACCACGGGACAATCACGCGCCCAGAGATCAGAATTCGGATGTACACCAGTAGCCTCGATCAACAGATCGCATCCGATCACTTGCTCGTTGCTTAATTCAACATATAAAGGCCAATTATTGCTTGAGGAATCAATACCAGGCTCGGAACCAGAAATACAATGACAGCTGGCTTCTTCTGGCGGAAGCAGTCTCTTCATTTCAACGCCATATATCACGTGCACCTGTCGATCCTGGAAACTAAATAGTGCAGTAATGTAAATTAAAATCAATTTAATGATGCAAAGGCTTGCGCACTTGGAACAAGTGTTACAACTTTTCGGGCTCCACTAACCATCGGCTACGGAAGAAAGAAGGGGGTTCCATATTATACCACCACTCAGCTGAGGACGGGGTTTAATCATTTGTGCGAATCGATGAATTAATGGCCCATCGCTACCCCGCACACTGACCAGGACAACTTCAACTTCCTAGCTTTCGCAATTCTGGAGGTGAGGTGAGCTGTTTGATGAACAGTTCACTATTAGACAACGTTTACTCGTGGAATTAAATTCATTTGATTGAACTGCTTTAGCCGAATAAATTACTATCATCCAGTATCAAATAAGTGCTGTCTTTCGAAGGAATCAACGCGCTCAACATTTCTCCTGACTAAGGTACTCTGGTAAGGCTTTAGCCGTTTTGAGATTTTCTTGGAGTATTTTGGCTATTACTGCATTGCCCAGAACTCGCCACTTTTAGGCAAGATTCTTATCAAATGTCATGAAAAAGCATACAATTTTTAGATCAGTAATTCATGGTACTTCAAGTCAGAAGTCAAAAATCTCACCCCGATTCCCTCACATGAAAGAGAAGTTTTAAAAAAGACGAGACTGAGAAGACAAAAAAGGAGGAGGCTCGGATGCTTCGCATGCTCCGCGCTTCTCCCCTTTTTTTCTTCTCAATCCAGTCTTTTTTAAAACGTCTCTTTCACCTGTGGGGACAGAATTAAGATTTTTGACTTCTGACTTGAAATCACTTCAGCAACACACACAAAAATGAAAACGAAAGGCCATACATTCAGTGCTCCAGAGATATCAGCAGCAGATGCCCATTCGGGGCCCAGTGCGCAACCCGTAATACCAGTTTCTTTGTCAGAATCTACCGTAATCTGGTATCTTTTCGATGCTGTTTTGTTCGACGGTTGCGGCTGACTATGACCGTGCAAGAGCATTGGCTTGAAAAATTCAGCAGCTCCCTCGTCAAAAAACGTTGCCGAAATTGACGAATGTCGTATAGCCCAAATAATTTCAACATTTTTCAACTCATATCTATAAAATATGGCCACTTTGGCAGAAATATGGCTACTTTGGAATAAACTAAAAAAAATGCTCAAATACTAGAATGTGGTCTGCAGCAACTGATTCCTGCAAAGGCAAAACAGATAATGTAAGGAAATGATGCAAAATTTTACTAAAACAACGCAAAATTTACTTCATGAAGTGCTAAAAAAAACCCTGAAAAGTACCCAAATGTGTAAAAAAATGGGTCCAAAAAAACACCAAACTAAGTAATACGGGAAAACTCTTCAAGTTTTTTAGTCAGCAAATTGTAAAAATGCGAATAAATCTAGTCCGGGATGTTGCCCTTACTCACTGTGCAATGAATTTTGTTGATGCTGCCAACAGTCTCGCGCTGTAATTCCTCCTTAACAGAGGCACTGTAAATTTACCCACTAATCTTGAATTGTTTTTTTGTAACCAAACACAATTCCTATAACTATGTTTTGTTTGGTTTCAAATAAATCTATCTTATCGTATCGCAATCTCCAGGAAAAGAAATGCGAAAATGCCACACAGATGCTATTTTGGTTAAGAAAAAAAAATTACGATTTAATTTTTGATAAAATCATGTTTTGCCTCAAAAATGTTGTTTTTCCTGTGCAATTCAGGTGCCTAATTAATCGAATCATTTAGCTTCAAACACATGATAAAGTAAAATTACACAATTTCCGTGGCAATACCACCGTTTCCAATCACCAGTACTCGTTTTGCATCTTTGATACCACTTCTTAAACGATCCACGGTTTCTGTATCCCTAATCGAAATGACCAGTGGGTGCTTACAGCTTACCTGAAGTAATCAAAGATTTTGCAACATATTACACATAGGTGATCGCTAATAACGGAAAATCTAGAAGCTGAAAGTGCAAAAGTTGAATCAACAACCAGAAATCCTTCCGTATTGATTCCCTGTGACTCTTGGAAGTAATCGAAAGTAATCCAAGTGGTAGCAAAAAATGCTAACAACTACTCGCTCGCAATGTGTTCTTAATCACACTGCACTTAACTGAATTCAAGTTACTGGCGGATCCGGGGGAGAAGGGGGGCAGGAGGAGGGGAAGAAGGAGGACGAAGGGTCTTTCGCCCCTCTTCTCTCCGCTCCAGGGGTTTAAGTAGCAGTTGTTTTACTGTACAAAATTCTGTCCGGTATCCCCTGTCGCCTCTCTCTCCCCTCCCCCCCACAGCAGCTTTGCCAATGTTAGTTTGGTTGTCCATCGGCGAGAACGAGAGGGAGATGGGGGAGTAGTGAGCCGTTGAGTGTAGTGACGAGCGGGGGGGATACAACGAGACCTTCAAAGGGGAAGGATGTGAAGGGACGACTGGGGGAGGGGTAGCTTGACGACTGAGGGGTGGATTGCGGGCTGACCGAAGGAGAAGGGGGTGCAGAAGGGAGGAGAGGAGGTGAAGAATCGCTCCCCCCTTCCTCCCCCAGGAGACACTCTGGATCAGCCTGTGATTCAAGTTCATACTTTTCCGAGATTTCAATAGAATGGATATCAAAAAAATTAAGAATCTTGTTTCTCCCAAAAGATTTAAGCCACCATATGAAATGAAAGGCCCCGATATTGATGTCAAGAAAAGATATGAAAATTTCTACCTTAGGCGCACCTCCAGTTGCTATACATAATTTATCATAAGCAAATTTCTGCTTTTTGTCCAGCAAAAGTTCCTGAAATTAATCATTACGATTAACATGTATATACCACACAAGTAACATGTATTTGTCCTGCTTGATAAATAAATCTACTGCAACATAATAGGACAATCCCGGACCGGTGCCCTTTTGTTTTACTCCCTTGCATCTCTCCTCCTCCCAGCTCCCTCTGGCCCCATAACGAGCATGATACAACAAATAAAACAAACCCAGGCTGGAACGCACCGAGCGGGCCCGTGCGATCATGCGTTTTTGCATCGCATTTGAAGTGCTCAGGTCATTAACTGCATGAATGGTTGTTGCTTTACGCCTACCTTTTGCAGTCACTAGCATAAATCACCATAAATTTTGAATAAAGTAAATGTGCAATTTCCATTTAACAGTTGTTCTTTAAAAGTAACCTAGATGTTCAGTGAAAAATTTTTCCGCCAAAGCTTTTAAGTGTTCGTGCGTAAGAACTACGCATGCGTTAAGGCTGAATTTAAAATACTTAAGTTATACTTGGCCCCTCTTCCCAATATGCGTCTTTGCAATTTACATGTATGTAAAAACGCATAAAAATAAAGATTTCCAGTAGGGACAAAACTGACAATAGATTTATGAAAGTTAATATATGCAAATTTTGGACCGTTCTCTTTGTTTAGTTCAATGGGCATTTGACTAAGAGGAAGATAATTAACAGCTGGAGAAAGCTGAAAACCGTTTTAATAGTCAAAAAAATTAACAGGGAGAATTTGAAAAAACAGTGCCCGATCTGCTTGCTTTTTCATATTTACATGTTGTTCACGAGGACTGTTATCAAATGCAAAATTTCACTTTATTTTTCCAGTCCCAGTGTACCACAGCTCCATTTACAAATGTAAGACCCAAACCCGAGAAAGCACTTGTCACCGGCTGTTCAGCGATATCAAATGCTTCTGTCAACTGGCCAATCTGAAAAAAAAAAAATTGAATAAATCCGACTAAAATCAACGGTCTCTCTGGAAACTGTTGCCTTTCGTTTTGGGGCAATGCACGCAAGAAAATTTCTGGGAACCTAAACTCAGTTCAGGCATAACTGCTTTTAACCAGTGAGCAACACGTATGTGAGCAGCATTACT